GTAGATCTTTTCGTTAGCTTTCCAACGCATCTTGGATCACCTCATTCCGACATCGGACGAGGAAGTTAGAGCCAAAATACTCGAGAGGTGCGCGGCAGTGGTAACTGCCGCGGCAATGCGCGACACAACGTACTGCCGCGGCCATTGAGAAGCTGAACATATCATTTTTGATAGTTTTCTCGAGTTTTGTGTGGCCCACATGGTTTATTAACTGCTGGGGGTTACTTATGAACGTGGGGGAAGCAGTTACAAGCGAAAATTATGCCCACTACCCACAAAATCGTGACATTTAAGGAGTTAAAAGTTGTGGGATGGCGGTGACAAAACGGGGGGGAACCACTCCTTTGACCACGACAGCAACGACTGTCGCGCCAAAGGAATCTCTTCAGCCATGACACCTATGGTTGTCGTGCCCAAAGAGGTAGTTGCTGATCGGTTATTTTCAACAGTTATCATCCAAGAAGACTATAAATACCCTCATAAGGCCATCATTGATGGGAGGGCAGATTGAACAAGGGCAGATTGGATAGGGGCAGATTGGAGCAGAAAAGGCTTGAGCTTTTGGTGAATTAGAGCAAGAGAGAGAGTCTTCCTTCTTCACAAATATTCTCAAGAAGCTTTTGGCGATTCCTAGAGATCTAAGCTCTGACTTGATCTTTAGAAGAGTGAACATCTTACATCGATAAGATATTCACTTTAAATTCTTACTTCGATAAATGAAGGAAGAATCCCTAAAACCTTCACGATTCAATCAGAATCTGTGAATCGGTGGTCCACGGGCTAAAGCACCCCCGGCACAGGCAAAGATCCTACGCAAGCAGCGATCCAAATAACGATCCTGCGTTTGTTTCTAAAAAGTTGCAATTTTCCTTTTGTTGTGTAAAAGAAGTCTTATAAAAAGGCTATCTCTTTTGAATTTATTATAATCGATCGAAGATATAATGAATTTCACAACGAGACCAACTTTTGACGCAAACAACTATAAATACCCCTAAACTCTCATTTGTTGAATTAACAAAGAAAATCAAGAAAACAAAGAGAAAATATTTAACTTTGTTTTTGAGACTTTTTAAGCTTTAACTTTCTCTCATTTTCAAGTTCTCAATTTTGGATTTTTTTTCTTTCACATCCTATAAACCCCTGAGCTCCAATTGTTCATCTCTTCATCATTGCTTTAGGATTGTTGTAAGAGAGAATGTTTTCTTCATCTTGTATTGTGTGGAGAGCTAGATCTCGAGAAGATCATTGTGTAGAGTGTTTTATCTCAGGGAGATCATTGTGAAAAAGTTCCAGTTTCCAAACTGGATTGTGTAGTGGATTACTATCGAGAGAGGTGATCGGGGACGTAGGTCGAGAGGAGCGAACCTCGTGAATATATCGTTGTCTCACTTGGCTAACTATCTCTAACTCTCTCTTTTAAATTATTGCCTTATTACTATATGTGTGTCTTAAATTGCATTGAATTTTCATTAGTTGCACAATATTGTTGGATTACCCTATTCACCCCCTAGGGTAATTTTAATATGTGTTACGTCCCAGTCTTAGCATGTGCATGTCCTCTTCTCCAAATCAACATGAGTAGTTCTATGTGATGGCACTTCGAATATATCATCTCTAGATTGCTTAATCTCTAATGTATATCATTTTTTCATATTTTCTCTAATAATATGCTCAGTTTTAGGACAAAGATAACCACTCTACTTATCAGCCATTATGCGTCTGTTGTTCATGCGAACCATAATTTATTTTTGGATATACTCCACCATTTGTAGTACACGTAACAATCAAGCTTTACGTATCCAGCTGTTAAAGGATTCTGCGATATTAGAGGCCACATGACCATATCTGCAAACATCAAAATAATAAAAAGTATAATGCATACAATATATAATAAAATCAACACGTAACTACAAAACGTAACCGTTAAGAGTGACATTTAATATATACACCCGAAACCTAACACATAATAATGAAAGTTAATATCTACAAGCTATAGTTAACATGTACAAAGAGAACTTAACATAGATGCGAGAGAGTTAACATCTACTGTAAAACGTCATAATGATTGAATGCAATACATAATGTCAGGGAAGAATGTATTTGCCCACTACTCTAGCGAGTAATTAATTACAATCTCATATGCAGCTGGAGACATCACATAAATTTTCTTCATGTAGTCATTTCTTTCCGCTATAGTGTATTTATAGCAAGCAGACTGGAGCAAATTCCCGAAAATTTGTGTGTCCTTTGCCTTCATTCACAAGTCCTTTAGCTTTGTTCTAAAATTTCAACTAGGTATAGAACACATCTCGAGTGAATTGCTTCAGAAAAATATTCTCTCACGACTTCTCGAATCTCCTTGTCAGTATTAAAAATAATTACCAATTTGTGGGGAGGATTGTATGGGTCTGACTTTTCATATAGTATGGACCACAGATCTTAAAGGAATTATCTCCAATTAGCTACATTTTCATGATTGCATATGCAATACGCAAGTGGAAATATCCCTTGGTCTCTGTCGTATGCTATGACGCTGAGGAGCATGCATTTGTATTTGTCTTTCAAAAAGGTCTCATCCAAAAATAAGAAGGGTCTACATCCATTTAAGAAACCAATGATGCAAGCAACATAACATATGAACAGGCTTCTGAACCTTCCTTCATTCTGTTTAATGCAAATATAGCTTTCTGGATTCATTTTCTTCACCATGTGTTCATACATGTACATCAATATCACCACATTTCATGTAAATATAATACATTGGAGCAAACATGTATTAATTTTTAAAGTTACCGTCTAACAATGAAAGTTAACATCTAACTATTAAAGGTATTATCTAACTGAATGCTCATAGTTATCTAACTAAAAGTTAACATCTTAACATGAATGCTAACAGTTATTCATAAAACATAACATCCCACGGTGACAGTTAATATATATCAATGAAACTTAACATGAAAAGTCCAGGGTTAATATATTGCACAATAAATCAACAATTAACATTATACTATAAGCGGCTACCAAAAAAATTTGTATATTTATTAGAAAAACTGTAAAATTTACCATCTTAATTGATTATAAGACTCATAACTATCACCGTACATATCCTCTTGTGCTCTTTCTTTACCCCCACCATATCTTACTATATTCAACTCCCAATCCATATCGAGTGAGAAACTCCTTTTGCACATCAACTGGACGGATTTCTGCCTGAACCTTTAATACAGGTCATAATTAGACTGCTATGAATTTGCAAGATGCCCGTGATTGTCCTGACAAGTTAGAATGTTATCTGCAACTGTGTTCATTCACAAACCTTTTGATTTTAATTCTTTTATATTTTTAACAGAAGAGGCAAAACAACATCCAAGGGCATCCATATGTCTCCTTATATCGACAATAAACTCAGATACATTTGGATTCATTCTTTACAAATTCATAATTAAACTTTTTCGCCATAGAATAGTATTGCAAAGCTAGTCTCAATTCATTTATACTTTTAAATTGTTGCCCCTTTTTAGTTAATTTTGTCTGCCACTATTAAGGAATGACGGAAGTGTTGTTGAGAATATTATCAGCTCTCATTACATTCTCACCAGATGAGCAATCATTTTGGATTCTCTCTAAATTAGAAGCATTTCCTGGAGGAGGATGACTATATTCTACATTCAAAGAGGCATCATTGCTGCATAAATTAATGAACCAGTGAGATATCATATTTAATTATAATATAATATTATCTTCTGATATTTTAAATTAATAGCTTCTTATGTAAACTAACAGGTAACTGTGAGCGTTAACTGACTAGGAGTAAAATTAACATGTTTCGGTAAAACTTAACATAGAGAAGTAGAATTTAACAGACTATACACATAGTTAAAACGCTAGGAGGAAAGTTAACAACTTCATTAAAAAACTAACATGTTCATGTGAAAGTTAACATATCTCGTTGAAACTTAACATGTTAGAGGAAAAGTTAACATCTAGCCATTAAAGATAACAATTATATTTCGTCTATGCATTGAAACCTAAAATCACAAAGCTTACATCACATAAAACACAGTTTTAAAAAGAGTTTATTGATTACTTACATTTCAGTAAGAACTTTCTGATTTTTTTCAGATGTAGAACCCTCTATATTAACAACAGCTTGCATGTGAATCTTCATACAATCAGTATTTCGATTGTGCTCCAACATGCACTTTAAATCACCTTCATTATCAACTGAAAAATGATAAAGCATCTTGAGGTACTTTCAGTCTTTCAGACATATCAAATTTCAGTTTAAAAAAAAAACTTATGGTAGATCTTAGCATCAAGAATATAGCATTCTCGCCTAACGACATCATGTAAATCAAGTCTTTGGCGGTTATTGAGGGTTGTTGAAAGTTATGAGGACAGTTATGATGAGTAATTGATGGAATTTTTAGGGCATAAGGGGTTGTTGAAAGTTAAAGAAAAAAAATCCTGATATCATAAATGAGAGAGTGAGAGATAAAACTATAAAATACACAATCCATGATGAGTTAGATCAGTAATGGAGGGAACCCGCGCTTTTTTCCCTCCATTTTTACCGTCGAATCACATTAGTTGCGATGACGGAGATCACCGGCTCCATAGGTGAAGGTGACAATTTCCTGGGTGAGAGAAGATGGCATTTTCGATAGGTTGGTGAAAATACATAGAGGGAGTACATGTATAAATGTGGGTTTTTTGGGCCGTGCCACACTTTTTTAGCTCTTTTGGGACTAAAGATTAAAGGAAAAAAGTTGATGAGGCATTGACACATTTTTCTAAATTAATATTCATGATTTACTCTATGTACGACCTTTTTCTCATATTGGATCCTCTACTAATAACCCCTTCTGGTAGTTGCAAACTTGTAAGTTGGGCGGACGGGGGCCCACGCGTCAGTGGCTGGGTCATAAAAGAAAGCGAGAGTTCAAGGCGTCTTCTTTAAACACATCTCATGATTAATGAAGATATGACGGTATCTGTTTTTTCTTTTGCGTGTAGCAATCTAGTTTGCGTTAAAACTCAAATCCCTTCGCAATAAAACCTTCAAAATTCTTATCTCCAAAAACCACCATTAAAAAAAAACCCCCTCCTTTAATCTCTATATACATGATCGTACTATATTGAAATATAGTCCCATCGATCGTCAGAAACGAACGCCATGGCCGATGGCAACCGGCTGTACCCGTTCATCGAACCCGATGAGCTGAAATCACCACCGTTTTCAGAGGCAATAGCGTCCCCTAGGGTTTCCGATCGGTCCCAGGTTTTTAGGCCTTTTGATCTGTAACAAGTTTTATTACGAAAGAGAATATCAAATCTTGATTTTCGCAGTGATTTCCTGTTTGTTTTGTTTGTTCAAATCTGAAAATTTTTGACCTTTTCTGGTTTTTAGATTATTTGCCTTTTTTGTTTGCGTTAACGAGTGACCTTGCAATTGAGGTGACTGAAAGTTTGAATCTTTCTGGAGAAAACTTCAGTTTATGATTATTATTGAATATTTCTCAATAATTTCTCAATATTTAGTTTAGGATGTTAGAAGATTTTTTATTTATTTATTAAATTTCTCTACTCTAAAAGGGAAAAGAATTGCAATCAAGCTAACCGTAATTTCTGGGAACTTGAATTTAGGGTGCTAGTTTCAACTTGGAAGAAGAGGAGAACAAAGAAGAAATCACTTCTCCTGTAAATGATGAGTTTACAACTCTACAAACATCTCAAACCGAAGAAAACAATACCACGAACCTGACTGAATCTTTTAGAGACAAAAAGCAAGGGAAGTACTTCTACTATGACTCTCCTCTTCTCGAGGATACTGGCATTTGGATACCTGTCTCAGTTCCTCCTCTGTCCGAGAGTGATCATCAAGAATGGAGCAGAGGGTTCTCCACAAATGGGGCGTATTTCCCCGAAGGAGAAATAAGTTGGGACCAACTAATCGAAGAAAACAAAGAGATGACAATGTGGGATGTTTTCTCTGAGATGCTTCTTGCAGCCCGTGGCAAAGTGAGCTCCCTCACTAATGGTGAACTTACGAGAGGGACGATTTCTTTCATATCTACACACGTCTTAGAGCAAGCTTGGAATGATATGGCTAACACTCTTACCGAGGCTAATTTCGGAAATGCAAAGGAGATTCTTGACACTGAACCGCCGAAATCGATAGTGCCTCTTCTTCATGCATGCTTTGCAGTGTCCGGTTCCATCCAATCATGTGTTCTCGGCATCATTGTAGGTTTTGTGGTGGGATCTTTTGTGGGCAATGTTCGAGAGGGAGGAGCTTATTGCCGCCAAAGTTTCGTTCTGGAGACCCAGAACGGGTTTGTGATGTTTGTTGTGTGAGGTTGGAGACTGTTCAACCTTATTTGATGGATCAAGTTAGTCGTGCTTCTCAATTGCCGACTCATGACTTGACTGATCTTAGCACCTTGAGGTCATGGTTGAACTTCCCATGGGGTCAGTCGATGGAGTATGAAATATATAAGGCGGCGAATATAATTCGTGGTTACAATAAGGTAATTAGTATTTTGCAGTTTGCATTCAATCAGTATGTAATTCTTAGGTTATTGAGTTTGCATATATTGAATTATTTCAAACTTGTGAAACTATTAAGTTTTATCCTTGTTTTCACCCTTCTGTTGAATTGCACAAGGACTTCTTCTGGTTATCTGATACACAAAAGCTTTAGTGTAAAGCATATAGTTGTACCAAATATTGCTTCTCTTTAGGTTATGATATGCCTCAAGAAATTTACTTTCATGCTTTACCAGGAAGGATACGAGTGTGCATATTGATTTGGGCACTTCTGAAACGTCAATCTTTTTTCAATATCAACTATTGTAGTAGTACTTCTGTTTCCATGCTCTTGCAATCTTGAAGACAATTCAAAATTTTACCTATGCGCTATATTGAAACATAGACAATCATTTATTATTCTTTATTTGAAGGAGTTTAATGTGTTCATCCTTTTTCCCCTAAATGTTACTTATAACTGGCATTTGCGACTTAGGTGGGTTCACTGAGACCTGAGAAGCCCATCCCTGATGCCATTCTAAAACAAGCAAAAGGTCTTGCAATATTGACGGTTGCAAAAGTTGGATTGATGGTCACATATAATGTTGGAACTGGATTGGTTATTGCTCGTAGAGACGATGGTTCATGGTCTGCACCCTCTGCGATTTCATCCTTTGGTCTTGGATGGGGAGCGCAGGTGAACTATCTTTTGTTTATTCCCCTTTGCTTTTGAAGTTGCACGTGCTAGAAGTTCAGTTGAATTTTTTTTAAAAAGCAACAAAACGTAGGAAAGAATGTTCATGATGTTTCTTGTGCAATTCTCAACAGGCTGGTGGGGAGTTCACTGACTTCATAATAGTACTGAGAACAAAAGATGCTATAAAGACTTTCAGTGGAAATGCGCATATTTCAGTTGGCGCTGGTGTCAGTGCAGCTGCTGGCATAGTTGGACGAGCTGCTGAAGCTGATCTACGTGCAGGTGATGGTGGTTATGCTGCCTGCTACACATACAGCTGCAGTAAAGGTACATATTCATAAAAAGTTTCCTTGTTATGTGCACTATCATTACAGGTCCATTTACGAGTTTGTGATTATCCGTAGGAACATAAACAAGAACCATAATATTGATCATAAACTTGTGCCACAGAGTGTACAACAGTAGCTTAAAGAGTACTTAAAATAACTGTTAAACCGTATAATAATTCGATGATAGTCATAAAATATTGCTTTAGTTGTTTTTTATATATATTTAGTAGTTACTTGTTTGACAAGCTTATTTTTTGGTTGTCCGTACTGGGAATTATTTTCTTTGTGTGAGCATGTTCAAAAGTGCATAATATTTCAGAAAATGGACAATGCAATCATATGGAATCTTTCACTTGCAATAGGCCATGTTATCAGGGATAGAATCTCACCCTTTAGGAAAGAAGAGATGTAAACGAACTCTAAGAAAAGTAAAATCCTCGAGGGAGGAACTCATACCCTCTATTTAAAATCAATAATTCAATCTCAAATTAGTTCATTGATTGGATCAATCATTAAATTAGGCTAACTTCCTTTTTTTAATTTCATTTCTTCCTTTTACGGGGTCTATCCTCACCTTCTAAGTGACATTTTATGATTTTAGTAATCATATCAAATATTGAACCAATTGGTAACAACTAATCAAATCAAGTATTAATCTCATAAAGAGTCAAATCTCGCTGTTCTAAGTAATAGAAGAGCTAACTAATCACAGTTAATCAAATCAAATTTCCACAGATTGTTACAACTAATCAAATAAAATATGTAATCTATTGTCATATGAAAACAGGTAACTAAGACAGAAGTTAAAGATGAAAGGAAAAAAATCATAGATAAATGATAAGGGCAAATTAGATATGGGAAATCCTGAAGATTATCCCATTAAATGGAAGTAGTAGAAGTTGTTTTGCCATTGTATTTAGAGAAAACTCAAATTTGGTTGGTAAGTAGTAGAAGTCGTTTTGTGATTGTACTTAGAGAAAACTCAAATTTGGCTGGCTAAGTCCATTTGAGATCACAATATCCCGCAGATACTCAGACCAAGTCCTGATGCCATTAGGTTCTCTGTACACTGTGTTCATCAAGTTCTTTCTGACAACTTTTGCATGAGTTGCATCCTAAGGTTCAATGATTAGTAAGACAATGGACGGTATAAGCATGGTTGTCAGATATTTCAGGAGTTTGCAATAGGTTACATGGTAATGATTGAGTTCATCATAAAGATTTCCTCTATGATACATCTGTCCAAAATGATCTTAGTGTGAGAATTGGGTCAAACATTAAGGATTTGGCCTTGTACAACATGGAAGAATTGGCACCATCCATGAGAACGTTGAGTAGTCATTGACCACTGTATACGCATCTCCATCTACTACAGTAACCACTTTTACAGACTGGATTTCTAGCTCCCGAGCCAGCATCATCGCCATTACTTACATTTCTAGCACTGGATTTCTAGCTCCCGAGCCAGCATCATCGCCATTACTAACATTTCTAGCACTACGATCAAGGAGACATGATGGTACGTTAACATATTAATGGTTAAAAAGCTCCAAAGTTAACATATGAATGTTATATGGGAGCTTTAGGATGAAAATTTTTATGTTTGCATAATAAAGGGCATTAACATGCCACTTTTGAAAATCTCAGGGTATAAATGCTGCGAAATACAATTGAGGGTATATAAGTGCTAAACGACTGAAATTACAAGGTATTTAAGTGCTATTTCGCCTTAAAATAACTCTGGCGTCTTTTTGGTATTTAAAGTTCAGCAAAAGGGCGGTTGGATACCAAATCTCGTCGACATGAAATTTTTCGGTTGTAAAATTTCTTTCACTCCCTGATACTTTTAAGTTATAGTGTTTTACATCCTTATTCTAATGTCATTATCTCTCACCCTTTCTCTCTCCTCTTTATCTTTTCTTTTTCGATCTCCCTCATTTATCCTGTCCGTGCTAATGTCAACTTTTTGTGTAGGAGATCTGAATCTTTTATCTTTCATCTTTTCTGAAGATTAAATATAAAAACTATTTAGTGGTGTTTGGAGGACTAAACTAAGGAGTAAGGGCATCTATCACATAGACGCTTGTTTGTTTCTGGAGTAGGATGCGGAGTTGTTAGGGTGCAAGGATAGGATTGAAAATAAAACATTAATGAAGAGGTTAATGGGTTTAAAGAGAAAGAAGGGGACAGAAGTCATCTATAGATGAAACATACACAACAAATTACCAAGTTTTGACTAGAAAGGTGACCTTTCATGTTGACCAAACAATAGACAAAGATAAGATTATTTAAAGATTGTTTGCACTAAGGTAGAGGATCAACAACAGTCAAATAAATAGATTGGTTACTTCTAGTTCTAATCTTATCGGCAGTGTATTTTAACGATGTATTTTAAATGATCAACCTCTTGGTTAAAAAAGAATTTCGGTTTAAATTGAGAGGCATTGAAGGAGGGGGTTGCATTGATGAGGGAGAAAGAAAGGTTGAAGGAGGATCTTATTTGATAAAGGGGTAGAAGAAATTTGAGCTTGGTAAGGTTGAAAGAGATAAATGGTGTAAAGTACAATATTTAAAAGGTCAATGTTAGAAAACATTTTTCTGTAGGAAAAATTCATTGCTGACGACATTTGACACCCATTTGCCATTTGTCAAACTTTAAATATCAAAACGATGTCAGAGTTATTTTAAATACAAAAGTGGTAAATGAGGTCTATTTTAAGTAACGATTTGGTAATTTAGCCAGATAACATGTGTCAAATATAGTTTTATCATATGGCTATGTTTGGACGAAAAATCAATGATTTTGCATTTGGAAAAATCATAGTTATTTGATAATTAGTCTAACCCCAATGTTCTTGACATGCGTATTGTAAACATTTATGGTATAGTTTGGTAACATGACTTACTAGATTCTCGGTCAATTCAACTTTATAACAATAATATCCTTATCAATTTGGAGTTGGCAAATGGTAGTAAGCTTTATGTGAACATGTTGAGTGCTTGTTGGGTCTTTGCTTTGATCAACTGCGCCATTGCTTTGACAACACTAAGGTGGCCTTGCAGTTTAGACTTCTCTAAGTTGAAGGGGAAAAAATCGATCGTCCCAAAGTACCTTTTCAGAGATACGCAGTAGAAACATGCTTCTTCTCGGTTGTCAAGTCTGTTGTAGTCTTTTGCTTAATGGTGCTGCTTGCACCATTAATTGGTCTTTTAGCTAATATATAAAGAGTCTAAAGACATAGCTAGATAAAGAACTTAAATCATCATAAATTTGACTGAAAATCAGCAATTGTGTATCTATAAGGCACAATTAGTCTCCTGACTTAAGATGTTAAATGCTTGACAAAATTGATCAATTATAAATAAAAGATATAATTATGTACATTAGCTTACCAGCTTAATAATTTTGTTGTCTAGATCAAAACTCAGGAAGATGGTGTTCCACCTGTCTGGTCGAGGTGAGACATCCACCTCTCATA